AGCGAAGTTTCACCTCTTATCTCTGATAAACAGGACTTAACCGTAGGCTTTTTGCCACAGCTCAGTTTTAGTCTGGTATTGTCTAGAGAGGTTTTTTATATTCCCTTAGGAAGGGTGCATTTTGTTCTTTATCGACCCCTGCTCAGTGCTCACCACTGTAGTTTGTACCCGCCTTTTATAGGTGCTATAGCTCCCTTTAACATGTTAATTAAGAACAAAAACCAAAGGGGGCAATAACACAGGGGGGGACCGTACAAAGTAGTAGCCCCCTAGGGGCCCATACACAGATAAAACATATTGCCATCCTTTTCTTTTAAATAAAAAAAAAATGAAATATAACAAACACAAATTGGTGAAGTAAACAAGCTATAAGTTAGATATAAACCTTGAGGGAGCCGGGCTTTCTGATTTTTCTGCCACTGGTAAATAGGGGTTTCTTCACAAAATCTTGGTTTTCTTCTGATTCGGCATCTATTTTCGGGACTGTCTCTCTCTGCTAGAACCTCCCTATGCCCCTAGCGTCCCTGTTTCTTTGTTGCTGTTTTCATATCTCACGCTTGAGTGCCCATTACTTTTCCCCAGGGCCATGTATCATTCCTTTTGTTTTTTCTCAGAGTCTCCGATTTCTCCTCCATCTTTTTCCTTCCCTCTTTTATTTTTCATAGGCCTGGTCCCAATTTTGTCCCCTTCGCTTTTTTCCAGTGTTTTTTTAAATTTCCCTTTTGGCTGAATCCTTTTCATTTGCTAAAAGGCGATCTTTTGCAGATTTATTTAATAGAAAGTTCCTATCTTGATTTTTCTTTTTTTGGCTTTAATTTTGCCCACAATTTTGGGCTTTAGTAGTTGACCTGCAGTTGGAGGAGAGCCCTTTACGCTACTCATAAGCCCTGTGCTGGCTGGTGTCTGGGGCCTTTGGGGTTGGGTGTTTTCGTGGTCCAGTATGACATATATCTCTTTTCCGCCTTTTTTTGCCTTTTGCAGAGTTTTTTGGCTGTTTTTATGCTGACTCCGCTTTAAACATTCTCTGTGGATATCCAAGATTTTCTGGTGTTCAAATTCCCCCTCTCCTAAATTTTTTTGAATTCTTCCGATGTAATTGGGCGCTTGTCAGAGAAAAAATACCCGGAATCCATATCTGGCAAAATGGGCCTTAGTTTTTTAATTCTTTTTTGGCCGGGTGCCTGTAAGTAGTCTACTCCCAAAGTTGGAAAAATAGTCCACAGTTCCAGATTTCCTTGTCGTTCCCGTGAACAGATTTTTCCCTATTTTGCCCTTTGGTTGTTTGGGGTTTGGGTGTTTTTTGCAAGGGCTCTTTCGGTTGCTTATCATTGCCGATGCACTTTTTTTCCACGTGCTAAAAAGTTTTTTATGTGGTCATTCATTCCAGCCAAAACATTCTCGTGCAAGAATAGACATCCTTCTACACCTAATGATCGATGCAATCTTTTTTTAAAGTCTCTTCAAAGGGTTTTTGTATGACAGCCTTTTCCCCTTAAAAGATGATTCCTGCCCCAAGGTTCATTCTTTTGAAAAAATGGAAAAACCTCCATTGGAATGTGTTGTTTTTTGGCCCCCTTCAGATGACGTCGTTGGGATCTGTGGTTTTTTTCGCTGTGCAGGTCTGTATTTGTTTCACTTTTTTTTAAAAACCAGACAATTTCACACTATTGATGCTTTAAATGCTTTTTCTTCCATTTTTGTGGGTAGAAACTCTGCTTTGGGGTCTGCAAACAGAAAAACCTTTCCCACAAAAAATGTTAAAATCAATTTTGAACCTTAAAACCCCCCACCTCAGTTTTTTTGGGGTTCATGGTGGCTTCTTTTTTTTAAAACTTTCTAAAGGCTTTGATCTGAATGCACCACCACTTTTGGGACCCTAGGTGTACTGGTGAAAAAATTTTCTTAACCCAAATACTACGTAGTTTTTCCTTCTCGATTTTGGAAATTTTCCCTTTCTTGTTAGAGTTAACGTTGCGAAATTTTGAAATTGGTTTTATCCTGCATTGTGTGGCTCCAGGCCCTTTTGAGGGTCCATTGTATACCACTGTTATTGGATCAAAATTTTTAGCGTTGCGCTCTCAATAGCATTTTTCAAATGACTGAAAAGCATTTTGGCTTTCTGTCCCCTTTCCAGGTAAAGTCTTTGTGGTTACTTTTCAGTGGCTCACTGTTGATAAATCTTGCAAAATTTGGAAATTAATTCACCATGCCCCGGAAAGTTTTACTCCCGATTTTAGGGGTCGGCTGTCCCTGTTTGCCCCCCCTTCTCTGATCGACTTTAACACCATTTTAAAGAAGATGTCCCCAAAATTGGTCTTCTGTCATTTTTTGTTTGAATTTTGCCAGGTTTGTTTGATTTGTTTTTTTCTGCATCTGTCTAAGTTTTTTACACTTTTTTTTCGGATCCTTTTTTTGCGGATTCTTTCATCACCTTCCCCAACTATTAGTATATCGTTGCTATTATTTTTACTCCAGACAGTCCTTCCAAAACTTCCCTAAATTTTTGTTGGGAACCCTTCTGGAGCCGGGGTTTTCTCCATTTTGGCATTCTCACCCTTTTAGCGTCCAAATGGGAAGAAAAAGTGTTTTAAAAAACTTTCTTTATCCGTTCCAGTGCAAACCCATTTTTACATACTACCCAAAATATTTTAGCCTTTATAGACTGGGAGAATATTTCATTTTGGCATTGGATTTAAAAATTTTTTCAGGGCTTGTTCAGGGCTTAGGATCAATGCATATTCTTAACTTGCCTGATGGTTTTTTTTTCTATCACCAAAATGCTTTCCAGTTGTGCTTTCCCGTACTGTGCTTCAAAACCCCTTTCGGCAAATCCCAGTTCCTCTTTTAAAAGGGTTGCATTAAGGGCTACAGGGATCTTCTTGTAGGCAGTCTGGGAGGGTGTTTTGTGTGATCAATTCTAGTTTGTATTTTCCTTCCCGGGACCCATCCCTTCAAATAAATCGCATACTCTGTTTTTATTGGGGAAAATCCAAAAATTTTTTTGCCTTTTGTTTTGGGGTTTTTAGTATTCCAAAATTCCAGGCCATGTGTTATGGGACGCACATTTTTTTAAGCCATTCCTGAACTGTTTTTAAACCCCGCAAAGGAATGTGATGGTCCCCCTGTAACAAAGTAAACCCATCGTGCTCTTTCTGTTTCGGGGATTTTTTAATTTAGCTTGCATGTTCCCCTGGGTTTCAGAAAACTTTTGTAGTCACGACCGTACCTTATATGGGCCCCAATGGAACCTGTTTGTTAAGAAGGGGAAATGGAATGAATTGCGCTTGCCCACAAACCACTGAAATCTTATGGGCTGTTCATCCCCCTAAATATGGCAAAGAGCTTTGCTCTTTTTTACTGGTGTTTGACTACATTGACGTTTTCTGTTGCAGACTGCAGCTGCAGCCTGTGATGCCCCTTTTGCTGTCCTCGTCTGTGTCCTGGGGCACTGTTGGTTGTCTGTTCCTGGGGCACTGTGTGGACCTCTGTGCCCGGGTCACTTGTGGGCTCGTCTGTACTGTTTGCTGGGTTTTGTTTTTGCACACAGCTGAAAAAGGGTTCATCTTTCACAAGTCCTGCAGGGCCCCCCATCGCTGGACATTTTTTCTTTTTCTCTTCTTTTCTTTTGCCACGTTTTTACACTGGCTGGCTACAGGGAGCCTGGCCTTTCGTGCCTTTCACAGATCTGCATGTAAGGGTCCCGTGCCCTCCCTCATCTTTAGCCTGTCTTTAGTCAGTGCCCCTGAATTTGAAATTTTCCAAAACCACTCTTCCCCCCTCAGTAATTTCTTGGGGGAGGTCTTGATGCCACACCCCTTTCCCGTCTGGATAAGGGGGGTCCCCGTGTCCCCAAATCCCCAGGGGCAGCCAGTCTCCTCAGTCTGTCACTATCTGTCCCCACTGTCCCCCCAAACTCCCGATTCCTTGAGAAGAACTTGTATTTTCCCTGTTTATTCTTTTTTTGGGGGGCACAGTGCTTGTCAAATGCTTTTCGTTTCTGTCAGTGCCTTTGTGTCTGTGAGCCGGGGGCTGGAATTTTCGCCTTTTTTCCCCTAAGTAATAAAACAGCTTTACTTTTCCCCTGCTCATCTCTGGGTGCCATGCGGTACATACAGGTAAACTCTTCCTTTAGGTCTCCAGTTGCGAGAATTGAAGAAGTGACATCCAGTCCGGGGGGTTTTTAGGCCCTCTCCATGTGCGTCTGATGGGGGCTCTGTACTTTTCGTTGCTGTTTTTCTTACATTCTAGTGTCACACAATCTTATTTTAGACAGAAGGGCTTGCTTTCAGATCCAGGGCCCCTGTACCCCGTTTTTAGTCGATCCTCTCAATCTCAAACCCTGAGGGTTTTTTAGCCGACATTTTTTAGGGGCTCATAGCTGCCCTTTACATGTGTATTTCCTAAGAAATACAACCAAAAGAGGCAATAACGTTGACCAGTATCTTTTTGGGGACCCCTAAAGCCATACACACATTAAAACATTTTAACATGTGATCGCAAAGGGTAATTTCTTTTTTGACAAGATCAAAGGGTTCTGCATCCTCCTAGAGCAGAAAGAAAATCCCCCCTACAAGCGTTAAACCATCTCTGGCACTGATTGAAACAAAAGCGGTATATCTGTGATTTCCCTGTTGTGGTATGTTGGAGCCAATAAATGAAGCTGGGTCCTGGGAGATCAGATATAGTGAATGCAGGGGTCCGGGGGAGAGCGGATATAGTAAATGCAGGGTCCAAGGGGAGTTGGATATTAAGTTAAATGTGGGGTTCGGGAGAGCGGATGGGCTTGTATGTGAATGCAGGGTCCAGGGAGACGGATTAGTTGAATGCGGGTCCGGGGAGACCAGATATAGTTGTGCGGGGCTCCGGGCTGAGGAGCGATATAGTGAATGCAGGGTCCGGGAGACCAGAGATAGATATAGTGAATGCGGGGTCCGTCGGAGAGCAGATATAGTGCATGCGGGGTTCCGGGGAGGAAGCGGATCTAGTGAATTGCAGGGGTCGGGGAGACCAGCTATAGTGAATGTGGGTCCGGGAGAGAGCAGATATAGAGACAGCAGGGTCCGGGGGAGAGCGGATGATATAGTGAAAGCGGGGTCCGGGTGAGGAGCGGACGGATTTAGTGAATGCAGGGTCCGGAGAGAGCCAGATATAGTGAATGCAGGGTCGGGGAGAGAGCAGGTATAGTGAATGCAGGGTCCCGGGGAGAGCAAATATAGTGAATACCGGTTCCGGGGAGAGCAGATATAGTGAATGCAGGGTACGGGAAGAGGGATATAGTGAATGCAGGGCCCGGGGAGAGGGATATAGTGAATGCGGGTCCGGGGAGAGCGGGTATAGTGAATGCGGGGGTCCGGGGGGAGGAGAGGATATAGGGGAATGTTGGGTCCGCGGGAGAGGGATATAGTGAATGCGGGGGTCCGGGGGATTGGGGGAGAGCAAATTATAGTGGAAAATGCGGGGCGTACGGGGGGGAGAGAGGGATAATAGTGAATGCGGGGTCGGGAGAGAGCGGATATAGTGATGCGGGGTCCGGGGGAGAGCGGATATAGTGAATGCGGGGTCGGGGAGAGCGGATATAGTGGAATTGGTGTCCGGGGAGAGAGTATATAGTGAATGCAGGGTCCGGGAGAGCAAATATAGTGAATACCGGTTCCGGGTGAGAGCAGATATAGTGAATGCAGGGTCCGGGGAGACCCAGTTATAGTGAATGCGGGGTCCGGGGAGAGGGGACATAGTGATGCGGGGTCCGGGGAGAGCGGATATAGTGAATGCGGGGTCCGGGGAGAGCGGATATAGTGAATGGGGGGGTCCGGGGAGAGCGGGATATAGTGAATGCGGGGCCCGGGGAGAGGGATATAGTGAATGAGGGGTCCGGGGTTTAGTAACACTCTACATTTATTTTGGTATCTGAAAAATAGATGACTTTAAAAGAAGCTCATACATGGGAGAATCTGATCTTAATGCAATGAGTGATCAGAGCATCAAACAAATTCTTTTCATCTGGCGTGCTATTCAGACCCGGAAGTTTCCCCCCATTACTGAACATTTGTTACCTACGCCTGACGCCAAATGAGTACAGAGCTTGATCAGCGGAAAAAAATAAATTT